TATTTGAAATCAGAGCTATGGACACTGTTCTCAAGCTGTTTGGACTCTAGGAAGATGTTAGGTGGTAGAAAGTATATCAAGTACTTCTTCAGTTGACAGCTATGGCACCAGATAATTACCCCATCCTTCTCCTCTGAGCACTATTCCCCAAACATCTGTTATAGCAAAGGAATTCCTGGCTACCATGTCATCCAATAGTTAATTGGACTGCAAACAGGCACCTATCTCAAAATAATCCAATAAATTCTTTACCTGGGATGCATTAAGAAGTTACCATGTCTGGGCTGGGATGTAGCTCAGTGGCAAAGCATCTGCCTTGCATTCTCAAAGCCCTGAGTTTGATATCCCCAGTTCCAAATAAGACCAAAAAAAAAAAAAAAGAACCCCACCAAAGAAGTTACCATGTCTACCTCTAGGTCACTAACTTGATAACATGTATGCACTGGAGTTGCTGCGGTCCTGCTTTTCCACCTGGATACCAAACAAAAAAAAGAAACTAATCTGTGAAAAGAAAGGGAAGGCAAAATAGGCACAGGAAGAAGAGAAATGAGCATCAGAGCCAAACACCTGGTGGCATTTGAGTCTCTGATTTCACCTCTTTCCAGAGGCTTAGCTATGTCCCTGCCCTTGAGCTCCCTGAAAGAACCCCAAAAGGCCTCTTTTTTTTCTGACTTAGACTAGTTCCAATGCATTTCTGTTATTTCACCCCCCCCCAAAAAAAAATCATCCCTAATACAGAAAGAAGGCCAATAGGATCCATGTCCCATGGGTTTTCAGGCCCCAGAGCTAAAAATTAAAACCCAGAAGAGACTGAAAGACTAAAGGAGGACAAATGCCAGGAAGTCCAGAGAAGGAACAAGCTAACAGAGGCGCAACTCCATTTGGCCCTCACAGTCACTGTGCTTCCAGGCACGTGCCACTTCTGATCCGGAAGGGACGATCCCATGTTAGGGAATATGATTGTTGATGCTACATGACCTCTCCACAGAAATATGAAATACCTATCAGTCTCAGCAGCAACAACTACAAAATATTTATGGTATCTAGATGAAAGTTTCCATCTTCATCCTTTAAAATTTTAAAGTCTCTGAAATCAGAGACTCAAATGCTTCCAGGTCTTTGTCTGAGTTTTGAAGATGCTAGGAACCCTTAAAGTGAGGATTGCCGAGCAGGATAAAAAAGTGACTTGAAATAAGGAGGAACTGGAGAGGTGGGGTGATGACAAAGTTTAGGGTATGAGCTTTGCCAGCAAGCATGTGGTTGGTCCTGCTCCTTTGTCATTCTCTACTACACCTAGAGACTGCCCTGTCAATATAAAGCCCAGAGTGAAAATGACATAGAGCAGGCTGCAGCTGGTCCATCATAGACATGTATTGTGAGCATGTAGCCTTTAAGATCTGAAGGTCTTTTTTTAGCCCATATATAAACTATCCTATACTGACTAATCCACACACTTTGCTCTATATTAGTTCTATAAAGATTTATCCCAGGCTGAGCACTTGGCTTCCAAGGCACTGTGGTGAGAGAACTGCCCGAAGGACAGTAGCCATCTAGATATCTGGATGTCTCCTCCTGATGCCCACTATGGATGAGGCTCTGGCATTCTCCTTCCTCCGTGGGTGTTGGGGTGGTGATGGAGCTAGCCATAGGAACCTCACCCTGGCCCTGTGGAAGCCGCTTCCCCCTGAGGCCTGCCTTCTTAGCCAGCTCATCTGAGCTCCCTTTGCCCGACTTAATGTCTTATTTGACTTGTACCCCCTGCACCTAGCACAGTGCCAAGCACATAATAAACAGTCAAATAATAATAAGTGAATGGAAACTTTCTGAATTTCATCTGTACAACAACGTTTCTTCAAATGCTAGCATGCCTTAATTTCTATAATTTCAAAAATAAAAGGTTCTGTGTTTCCTTCTGAAACACCTACATGCCAGCCAAAGCTTCATTTCAACCTGAATTTTCTTTCTTTTCTAATGAAAAGCTTTGTATATGCTTACAGCACTGCAAGAACTGCTTAGGGTTTTAAAATTCTAGTGCAATCAAGCCAGACAGGCAAGAAATTAAACACTAGAATGCCTTATCTGTCTCTGAGTGATGTCTCCCACCTCCACCCACTATTGCTGCTGACTTGGGCAAGTACACCTGCTGTTTATAGACCATCCGAAATTACCTCCAAGAAGGAATTACTTTGAGAATAAGACTTATAATTAAACAGTAATTGAAGTTTCCTGTGGTTTTATGCATGGTTTTTATCTAATGCCTAAGTGGATGAACTGCATGGCTTAAAAGTCAGCATGGAATTAGATGTTTGAACAAGCAAGAGGAAGTCTCTGCTCAGTGATCTTGCTTTCTTTAGAACCCAGTTTGATATCCAGTACTATCATCAGAGCACTCACCCAACAATGACATCTGCTCAACCCTTCTAAAGTAACTTTCGGAAACAAGGAATATTAGAGTTGAAATGGACCTCGGCTAGCTCCTCATCCAAAACCTTTGATCTGCAAGAAGTTGAAACCCAGGAAAGTAAAGTGACTTCTCCAGTGTTACAGGTAGATGAGGGACTTAGGAGGTAAAACTATGATGACCCAGGTGACTTATTCAACGTAGAGTGTTAGGGAGAGAAAGGAGTATAGCATAATTCCAAATGTTCTCAGTTAGCAAATGAAAGGAAAGATGGGGTCAAATGAGAAAGAGCAGGTTTGGAGGAAATATCATGGGTCAAAAGTTTATGTCATGTTGAGTGTCTGTAAACCATCCAGACAGCAATATCAAGCAAACAACTGAATGTTATAGATCTGAAGCTGAGGAAAGAGGACAAGTTAAAGAGATTTGGGAATCATCAGCCTATGCAGGCATTTGAAAGTAGTATAGCAGGAGAAGTAAGAGAAAAGAAATCAGGGAAGGGGATTGCCAAAGTCAGAATGAGCTGAACCATCAATATCTAATGGGTCTCTTGGAAAAATGAATATGTAAACAGAACATTAGGAAACAGCCTTTAAATGAGTGACCAGGGAGGTATGGGGAAAATTTGATAAAATGATGTGAGTAAAGGGTAAGAGAAGGTGTCAGGAATGGAAAAGTGCTCAGTATTTGGAGCACATGAAGCTAGTTACTTCCCCAGTATTCATTCTCCTTTTTCTCCTTACAAAACCCTTTCTTTCAGAGCAGCAAGAATCTGGGAAACAAATCAACAGACTTTAATTCCCAGGCTTCTTGGTAGTCCACATTAGGTCCTTCTGGCCAGTTATAAACAGATAACCTATCTACTTGGCGGGACTGTGAGGAAAACTGTTATTTTTCATGATAAAGATAGCTGTACCTCACTTTTTTGCCGTCTTTTCTCCTTTCTTCCATCTGAAACGATTCTATGCCCTAACGTGCAGCAGCTCCTGCTATCTAATGCACATGAATATAAAAGATGACACAAAACACATCATGCAGTGAAAAGTGAGAAGAAACCCAGTTCACGATCCACCTAATTGAAAGTGAGAAACCTGGGAATCAACCTTGGCTCCTCCCTGTCTCACTTCATTGTGCTCCAAACACTTGATCCAACACTTAAATATCCTTCCTATTCACTTTCTTCTAACCACCTCTACTGGCCTGACATTCTTCGGGTCCACATCTTGTCTTGCCTGGCTTGCTGAATCACCCTCCTAAGAAGTCTTCCAGTTCCGGAATTACCACCTCCAACCTGCTCTCTCACCTGCTATTGCTGTCAAAGATTGAGCAGCTTTTTGTTGATCACTGCTTAAAATACTTCCACTGTTTTCCATTGCTAGCAGATAAAGTCAAGAGTCCTCAGTTTCACAGACAGATCTTTCATGTTTTTGTTCCTGCCCTACATGATGAGGGCACTGATTATGATGGGGGGTGGTGGTGGTGGAGAATATGTTTCAGCAGAGTTTTGAAAGAAACAGGAATTAAGAACCAAAGCACTGGGCTAGGAATTTATTCTTCACAATGCTCTTCCATAATATGGTATTAATATTCCCACTTTACAAATGGAAGGATTTGGTCTCGGAAAGATTAAGTCATGTTCCCAGGAACAAACACCTCGTTTACTTGAAGACCTAGATGTCAAAGAATTATCTAATTCTTCCCTCCCAGGTAGCACCTTGACATGAAAGAAGGTACTCCTCCCCATCCTGTTCCTCTCTACCCTCCTCCACCCTAAATGGGAATCACAGTCAAATCCTGTCTTGTCCCAGGGGCTAGAGAAATCTCTGTGGACGATCCAATGGGAAGAACATTGGGTTCTCTACTCGGGCTTCAGCGAGGGAGGAGAGAATCGTCCAGAGCTGAGCAGTGTTGTAAGAGTGGCGATCCTGACCTGCGAAGTCCAGGCCCTTCCTCCTCGTTCGTTCGAGGGGTCCAGACGGACGGACCTGAAGCCCTTATCCCTTGCCCCAGCCAACCTGGCTAGGACAAGGGCTGTGTTGGAGTAGAATCGAGGGTTCCAGAGCTCTGCAGTCCGGAGCTGGAAGAACACTGGGAAAGCACTAAAGTGCCTTCCCTCATGGCACAAGCAAGACCCGGAACCCACCCTCACCACTAACAGCCTGGAGGCTCGGGCTGTGCACTTCAGCAGCGCAGTCAGCTCCGCTGCAAGGGCGCTTTCGTGCGCACCGGTGGCCCAGCGCCAGGCGGAGCAGTCTAAAGGCATGGAGTCCCATCAGCGATACAGCTCTCTGCACCCCGAGGCTAAGAGAGCAGTTGGAGAGCTAGGGCAGTCGGATCACCCGATTTGTAGCTGAAGAGTGAGGGTCCCAGAGGACATCTCCAGCTGGCACCTAACTCCTCACACCTCGAACTTGGAACCCAGATTCGGACTTCCTACCGGCTGTCCGGTGGGAAAACCAACCTGGGCTGCCGTCTCTGACCACCCACAGCCTCGCTCCCTAAATCCTCCCCCGCCGAGAAACGGGTCCAGCCACCTGCTAGGCTCTCCCGGGCAGAGGGACAACCGAACCCCGACTGTTCCCAGCAGCTTCGACGAAACCCTGGACAGCCCCTTCCGCCTAGTGGGGTCTGACCCCCTCGCGCCCCCGCGCGTCCTTCTTTGTCTCTGAGCTTGCTCTGAAAGTGATGTAACGAGGCCAGGCTCGCGATCCGCTTTCCCACTTGCCAGACTCAGTCCTTCCTCCCTCCCCCCAGCGCCCGGCGCTCGGAGCGCAGAGTGGGCGCTGGGCTGCGCGGAGGCTCTGCTTCCAGAGCCCTGGGGACCGACGGGCACCGCCAGGAAAGACTCTCCCACGTCCCACCTCCTGGATGCACAGTCAGTGGGGAACACCAGGCTTTTCTCTCAGAACTAAGGGGCAGCTGCTGCGAAGGTTTCTGAGGAGACTCAGCCTGACTTCTTTCCCAACTCCCGGGAGACGGCAAGAAACCTCAGGTAACTCAGTGACCCTAGTCGGTGCATGTTTATATCAGAAACAGACAAGGATTACAGTAGGGAGGGAGGGACACGGAGGAGAGAGACAGAGGAGGACAGAGAGGCACAGATTGCAAGAGAAACAGGGAAAGACAGAGATTGTAAGGGAAAACAGGGAGATTGCAATAGAGATAGAGGAAGACAGAGATTAAGACTGAAAGACAATTGAGAGTCAAAGAGCAAGAAAAAGAGTAGATGGGTGGAAACTTGAATGGGATTTTTTAAAAAAGCAAAAAACCCTGTGATTTCACCTCTTGACAGAGAGAAGGACACTGCTTCCTGACCAGCAAACAGCCCCCAACCTGGATGGAGTGAAAGATGCGGCCTGATGACATCAATCCCAGGACTGGGCTGGTGGTGGCCCTGGTCAGCGTCTTCCTGGTCTTTGGTTTCATGTTCACTGTCTCTGGGATGAAGGGAGAGACTCTAGGAAACATCCCCCTCCTGGCCATCGGACCAGCCATCTGCCTACCAGGCATCGCAGCCATTGCTCTGGCAAGGAAAACCGAGGGATGTACCAAATGGCCTGAGAATGAGCTGCTATGGGTCCGCAAATTGCCCTGCTTCCGGAAACCCAAGGACAAGGAGGTGGTGGAATTGCTGAGGACCCCTTCAGACCTGGAGTCGGGCAAAGGGAGCTCAGATGAGCTGGCTAAGAAGGCAGGCCTCAGCGGGAAGCAGCTCCCACAGGGCCCGGGTGAGGTTCCTATGGCTAGCTCCATCACCACCCCAACACCCACGGAGGAAGGAGAATGCCAGAGCCTGGTCCATAGTGGGCATCAGGAGGAGACATCCAGATACCTAGATGGCTACTGTCCTTCAGGCAGTTCCCTCACCCACAGTGCCTTGGAAGCCAAGTGCTCAGCCTGGGACAAATCTGAATGCCCTGAGCCTGAGGACAGCATCTTCTTTGTGCCCCAGGACAGTATCATTGTCTGCTCCTACAAGCAGAACAGCCCCTACGACAGATACTGTTGTTACATCAATCAGAGCCAAGGCAGGTGGGACCACGAGACCATAGTCTAAGCTTTGCATACAAGGGTCACTGTGCTGATAGAAACATGACTACACCCCGCTTCCAATGGAGGGAGATTGCTCTGCTCCAACAGTCTTCACACTGTTAAAAATCAACATGGTATGTGATGGTTGTACAGACCTCTGGTGCCTGAGAGTCCTGTAAATAGGCATGTTGGGGACAAAATTTTAGGAAAGGGTAATGAGGATTAAGGACACTAGAAGAGGCAGTGGGTAGGAAAGGAAGTAGTTCCAATTGCTTCTTTAAAATTTTTTAAATGTTGAATGTTTTGTAAAATAACCCCAAAAGTGCTTTCAGCTGAAAAGTGCTTTCATGCTGAAAGCAAGATAAACCTGGAGTGGGTCACAGATGCCAGTCATCAAATGATGCATGGACTATCCACAGGGAAACTAAGTTGCTTTATGTCTCAAAAAAATGAAAGAAAAAAAAAGTAGTGCTCTAATATGTGAAATGATTTTTGTCTGGCAAAAAGCTTTTCACACTTGGTAATTGATGAAAGAAAAAAAAAATCAAGATAGAATAGTTAAAACCTCCTTAGACCAGATAGTTTTTGGAGATAGGAGAGTTAAAAACAATTAAATTTTGTAATTAAGTTGTATGGAATTATTCTTTGACAAGATCATGGTTTCAAATAAAGTAAGGTGACAAGTCATAGGAAAAACAATATTTTTAGATGGCTATGTTACATCTTAAACTCTTCATTTAAATTGAACTTGTGTCTTTATCTGACTTTTTTTTTAACAATTACTATCAGTCATGCATAATTTCCTTACCAGGTGCAAAAGGACTTTTATGTAATATTTTCATAGATTAGAATTTGTTTTCATAAAAACAAAACAAATTTTACATATATAGCCAAGTGTCTTTAACATTTCTGGGAGACATGTACTGCTAATTACTATATGCTTTTTAAAATCTGAAAACTACAAAGTCCATATATTAGTTTTGAACATGATACAAAATTTGTATAAAATGCAATGGTTGAATCTTTGGAAATGGTTTTTGTTTGTTTGTTTGTTTTTGTTTTTCACATTTGCTCAACAACCCCACAGTCTAGATAGTCCAATGAAACAAGAATTAATGTTCTAGATTTAACCAAAGCCCAGATTTTTTAAAGTTTACCATACTAGTGAACTTTTACATGATAAAATCCCTTCATTTCATACATTTTTTTCAGCAGCTAAGGAAAAAAAGTGATAATGGTATCCCAAAATTTCTTTCCTTTTTCTCTTGCTCAACTACAGTAGGTAAAAAGGAATATCAACTAGAATACAATTTGATCCCTATTGTAGAAGAATCTTGAATTATATACAGGAATGGTGATAGATTTTATCTTAAAGATCAGGATTATTCTATAGTCATCAAAGAATGATGATTTCAAGTAATCCAATCATTTTAGTCACTTTCTCACAAAAGGTGAATTGAGGACAAAAATTGGGGGCTTATCTCTTTCATGTATTTCAAGTCCAACTCTGTAATTCTTAAGGATAGCAATTGTTCTGTCAAGAATCATCCTCCTAAAAAAATCACAATTTTCAGATCAAGTTCAAGATCAAAAGCATATGATTTTTTTTTTAAGTAGGGTTTAAATGTTAGAAATTTAGATGTGTGATCCTGGGAATTTTTTTTATCTTTTCACACACCTCAATTTCCTACTCTATCAAAGGAGAGGGGAATGGATCTGATTTATACTAAATTGTTTCTATCACTCATTCCCAGCTTGAATATTCTATGCTACTACATCAAAGGCACTTTATATGTTGCCAGTAAATGAGTTACAGCAAGATGCATGCCAAAGTTATGCAATTCATGATCAAAATTATGCAACAATGATTGAATTGCTACTACTCAAAAGAATTTTGCAGATGTATGAAACAGATGTGTTTTATTACCAAATATTATATCAATACATGCCTGGGAATAAAATTGAAGATGATAGGAATAAAATATTTTAGGAGTTTTTTAAAATGTTGTTGTAGCCCAAAGTAAAGTAATCTAATACACAGTCTTGCACTAAATGTAATTGGTTTGGATTTGGGATGGGGACAGATGGTTGCCCCAAATCACAGTACCTTTTAATTCTAATGCATTTTGAAGCAGGAAATAATATTTCTATAGAGAAAAAAATTATTAGATAACTCTTAGGAACAAAACTTTTTCTAATGTGTTTGCCACTGTTGATATCTTTAAAAGTGAGAAGACAATGAGAGATATTTACAAAGACTCAGCAGATCTTACATAGGTATGAAAGGAAATGCTTATAGTATCAGGTATGGTTTGGGATTTGGAAAAAAGTTATTTTCCAATCTCTTGGAACAAGCTTAAACTCTCTCTCTCTCTCTCTCTCTCTCTCTCTCTCTCTCTCTCTCTCTCTCTCTCCCTCCCTCCCTCCCTCTCCCTCTCCCTCTCCCTCTCCCTCTCCCTCTCCCTCTCTCAGACACACACACACACATACACCCACACACACACAGTTTCTTCTTCTACCTATGTAAAATACTGAAGGTATCTTAAGTGTGCATTTGAGGGAATATTTTCTTGTACTAAAAGAATTATTTGCAAATGTTGGGCTGGGAGGTTTAATTTGTTTACCAGAAAAAAATAAAATATGCGATTGTGTCATGTGTGAATTTTTCTTAACATCTTATATTAAGCAACTCCCTCCCATATGCAGCAAGATAGCCAAGTACCCCAAATCGACATTTATAAGTACTATTCAGGATAAAACTGTTGTTCTTTTGAACAGAGGTAGAAAAAAAGGAGAAAATGGAATTTCCACCCTTTAGAGGAAAAGAGAGTAGTTCATTCTAGTCAACAGTTCTAGAACATATTAATATTAATATAATGGACAAGAGGACAGTTCCTGGTAGTCTTTAAGAATATCCAAGCAGATATAAATTTAAGCAGGCAGTAAGTTCCTTTATTTTGCTATTAATTCAAATACTCATTTCTACTTGATTTTGAATAGGCATTTTATTTTTGAAATTTTGTATTTAACTTCTCTTGCTCTATATTCCTACTTATTAGGCACATGGGTTTTTTTTCCAAACTGTTTCTTGATTCCAAAGTGTAAATTTAGCCAAGATATCCAAGCTGGAGCATATTAAACAACTGTTTCAAGATTTATTTTCTATTGCAATCATACTGGCAAACAAAATCCAGATACAGCGAAGTTCAGGCTCTCTTCCAAACTCTACTAACCAGCTCTTCTGAAATTGTTTTCAATACTGGGAATCTTAATATCCATTGAGCTGGTAAATGTAGAAAAGGAAAGTTCATTCTTTTTAATTTTTTCTCTTTTGTAACATGCAATCTCTACTTATTTATTAATATCTCCCCTCTGCACCCATAGCATTATTTATTTGGTGATTTCATGTTGTTATTACCACTATTATTTTATCACATTGAAGAAAATACTTTTGAGAGTCCCCAATCCCAGTATCCTAACAGAATTTATAGTATTTCTCTGTTGACATATCATCTTCCAAACTTCTACACGCATATGCACATACATACTATAACAATGTGTCTTTCCTTTTTTCTCTCTCTCTTTTAAATACATGGTAAGCATGTTTCTCTATTTCTCTACATATTCCTAATTATCAATTAACATTGTGTCATATTCCATATTTTAGTGACATTTCATAATTTATCATGCCATTCCTTACTGATGACCATACATTGAGTTTTATAGGTGGCTTTGTATGTTCTTTTTCTATTGTTGGTAACTCTGCTACATTATTTGCTCTATGCCCATAGGGATGAAAATTTACAATTGAAAAGCTGACTTCTTACAGAGAGAGCATAAATGTATACTAAACCAAACTCTCCTTATTAGTGTTCAATCTTCTCTTCACTTATAGATGTAAGATTAAAGTGGGAGAAAATGTAATGCTGCTTCCAAAGATCCTCCCATCAGGACCACAATTAGTATTTTTACAAGATGAGACATGTACCCAGTTAAGATACCATCACTATTTTCTTCAAAATGAGATGACAACAGTGTCAGTTTTCAAGAGCGTAAATGTCCACAAGCAAAATGATAGACTTAAACAATAATAAATTGGAATATTCCAAAGCATTTTAAGTGTATCACCATATATTTTGTAATATATGTCATATGTATGTACACATTGCTATGCATTCATGATTTATAAGTGAGTTGAAATATCAGGAATTCAACAGACTCTGCCCGTGTCTTTTCTGTGTTTTAGTTCTTTACCACAAAAAAAAAAAAAAAAAAAAACCTAGACTGAGGATGGAAATGTAGACAAATGCTTGGCTCAACCAAAAATCTTAATAAAGGATTGAATTCCAGTCAGCCTCTTGTCCAGTTAACACAAAAACATGTAAACATGTTACTATAGCAAAATACCTGAGATGATCAACTTATAAAGAGGAAAGGTTTATTTTGACTCACAGTTTGGGAGGTTTCAGTCCATGGTCGGTGACCCCATTGCTTTTGGGTCTGTGAAGAGGACACACTTCGTGGGAGGAAGCATGTAGCAGAGCAAAGCTATTCACCTCATGGCTGAGATGAAAGAAAACAGGCAGATGGAGGGGCTGAGTCCTAATATCCCCTTCAAGGGTATGCCCCCAATTACCAGAAGACCTCTCACTAGGCCCTACCTCAAAGTTTCTACTATCTCCCAGAGCATCAAACTGGAACCAAACTTTGGGGGACATCCCAGATCCCAACTATAGGAAACATCATTGAGTGTGAGATGATGTCTTTGATTTACCAAGGTCCTTTACTCCATGGGTACCCAATAGAAAGAAGTTTACACAAGTTGAGTGTTCCTTATCCAAAATTCCTGGGACCTACCATGTGCACTGGTGCATGCCTATAATCCTAGTGACTTGGGAGACTAAAGCAGGAGGATCACAAGTTCAAGACCAGCCTCAGCAATTTAGCAAGACCCTGAGCAACTTAGTGAGATCCTGTCCCAAAATTTAAAAAGAACGAACTCAAGATGTAACTCAGTGGAAGAGTATCCCTGAATTCAATCCCTAGTACCAAAATTAATTAATTTTGTGTTTCAAATTTGGAAGTTTACCAGATTTGGGAATGTTTACATACACTTTACCAGATGAGCATTCCTAATCCAACAATTCTAAATCTGAAATGCTTCCAAATCTAAAAATATTTGAACGACATGTCAGCACTCAAAACACTTCAGATTTTAGAGCATTTTGGATTCCAGATTTTTACATTAGTAATGCTCCACCTATACACGATGCTGTCCAGACACTCACACATATAGGCACTGAATTCCATCTCCACAGTCTTTGGTGAGTTGTTCCTGGACCTGACACTGGTTAGGGATCCTTTTTTTCTCCCTGACCCCAGATTACAGCCTACAGATTTGGTATCCTTGGTAACGATGCAAGGCTTTGTATGCTTTATCCCTAAGAAAGCACAAAGTTACAGAATGCACCAGGCTTTAAACAGGATATAAAGCTATTCAAAATCTCTTGTGCTTCTCTTTGACAGATACACACACACACACACACACACATACACACACAAATCACTTTCTTATTCTTCTCTTCAATCTAAGGCAAGACCATATTAAAAGAAAAAAAAAAACAACCTAGGCTTTTGAAAAATCACCTGCCTATAATTCAACACGAAAAGTATGGACACTTACCTTCTATGTAAGTGACTAGATCATCAAACCAACTCAGAAAGGCTCACTCTGCCCCTATGCTCTGCACCCCATCTCCCATCCTCTGCAGCATCTTCTTGGCTATTTCCAAGTGTGCCCTGCAACTGATCACTCTAAGCCTTTGTTCCAACCACTTTCTCCACGAGCTCTTTGAATACAGTGACCATATTTTATCCATCTTCCCCCTCCCACACCCCTTGCCACACATCCTGCCTTGCTCAGGGAAACCTCTAAATTGCACCATTTAGTCACACTCAAAGCCTATTTCCCTGTTTATATTGAATACAGTCAGCAACAATGTGGGTTAAAATAAGCTTCTGTGGGTTGGGACCCTAACTTTTATTTTGTATATTTTTTTTCCACAAGGAAACCACATCTTATGCAACAAGAAGAGATAGACCTTTCCAGAACATTTTCCCTCCCTGTCCCCTCCCCTCAGGATTGACCTATCTCCACTTCCAGCCTTCCCCCTCCCTCTATCTACACCAAATATGTGACAAGAACTGGTGATTCTAGGAACATGTGACAACAAGTCTTCTCAATTCCTAACCCAAAGGAAGGTGAATCAATATTATGGGGTTGATCTTACAAATAGGTCAACAAAATACAGCTCCCCAGCTTTGACTACTGTCCCTCTATTAAGCTTCCTTCCAATAATTCTTACCAGGTCCTTCAAGACAACCTGGGTATTCTCTCAAGTTAGTATTGGGGAGCTAAGTTGCAGGCCCTTACCCACACCCCCAGTGATGTTCCCCTTCTCCATAAATGTTATAAGATGCTCAGAGACTATGGCTTGTGATTAAGAGAAGCCTTAGATTGTTCTGGAACAAGATGTTAGAATTGTTCAGTAGTTCTCACAAGCTATATTTGAGGCCAGTCTTAATATCTTCCAACCCATACATTGCATCCTGTGAATTTCCCTACTGTCTGACTAGGTTAAAATGTATTCAATTTAAGTAAGTCTTTTTCCTGGACCATGAGGATTATCAGGGTCTCCTTTAACATTAGTGAAAAGAGATCTTTTGAACATGAAAAGGAAGGGAAGTAAAGAGAGAGAGTACAGAATTGTCAGCATAGAAGAAAAGAGCCAACAATGCTGATTAAGTCAGTCACTGTGTTGGCATCCACCCCTCCACCCACCTAAATCATCACTTTTCATCCTTTAGAAGCAAATGCTAGAAAATGGACTAACAGCATAAACCAAGCAAAATGTTTTTAAGATCTAAAGAGTAAAAGGATAATGCTAGAGAACTCTGATATAGTTTTAAATGGCTAAGAAAATAAATATATATATTTAATTTAAAAGAATATTCCAATAAGGGCAAAATTTGGCTAGAAATATCCTGCTGGATATAGTCCAAATGAATAAACAATTGCATCTAGTAAATAAGATCAAATGAATTAAAAATTATTCAATAATAAAACAAAAAGTACGATAAAATCTGTAAATTAAAGGAATAGTTATAATAATTCTGAAGTCTTAGAGAAAATAAAGATAGCAGAACCAAATAATTTTTTAATTCATAAATTCAGTCAAAATTTCCCACTGAAAGAAGACGGGGGGTACTAAATGCAGGGAATAAGAGCCCAAGAATGTGTCTGAGACTGAGGCAAAAGCAGGCAAGGAAGGAACAGAGGTTGTACTCAGTTTGCCTAGGCATGACTCCCCCAAAGCAGACTTTAGCATTTCAGGTTGCAAATATTCAGGGCTTAAATGATTTTTTGAATATGACTCCCAAAACACAGGCAACAAAACAAAGATAAACAAATGAGATTACATCAAGCCAAACAGCTTCTGCACAGCAAAGAAGCAATCAACAAAATGAAAAGACAACTTACAGAGTAGGAGAAAAAATTTGCAAACCATACATCTGATAAAGGATCCATACGCAAAACATGTAAGGGACTCAAGCAACTCGAAAGCACAAAGAAAGAAATTTAAAATGGCCAAAGGACTTTGAACAGACATTTTCTAAAAGAAGACATACAACTAAATACTCAAAATCACAAATCATCATAGAAAGAAAAATTAAAATCCCCAACGATATTTCACCTTGCACCTGTGAGAATGGCTAATATCAAAAAGATGAAAGTTAATAAGGATTAAAAGGATGTGAAGAAAAGGACATCCTTGTATACTGTTGGTAGAAATGTAAATTAATGCATGTGCTATGAAGAACAGTTTGGAAGTTCTTTTAAAAACTAAAACTAGAATTACATGTGATCCAGCAATACCCCTACAGGGTATATATCCAAAAGAATTGAAATAATATGTCTAAGCAACATTCATACTCCCATGTTCGTTGTTGCATGATTCAAAATAACCAAGCAATCCAAAATGTCCAAAATGGATGAATAATGAATAGATAAAGAAAATGTGGTATATAACACTGGATATATTACATATGTAATATGGATATTCTAAATGATGGAATATTATTTGGCCTTAAAAGGAAAATAAATTCTATCATTCGCAATGTGGATTAACCTGGAGGACATTATATTAAATGAAATTAGCCAGGGACAGAAAGGCAAATAGCACATGATCTCACTGATTTATAAAATCTAACAAAATCAATCTACTTATGAAGTAGAGAATGGAATGGTAGTTGTCAGAGGCTACGGATGGAGGAAGGAAGACATGGAGAATTGGGAAAGGTTGATCAGGGCACAAATTTTCAATTAGGTTAAATAAAATTTTCAAGATTGATTGAACAGCAGGGTGACCATAATTAATGACAATGTGTTGTATACTTCAAAATGCTAAAAGATTTTGAACGTTTTCACTACAAAAAATATGTGAGGTGGTGATTATGTTAATTAGCTTGATATAATTGTCCTATAATGTATATATAGATCAAAACATCACATTGTATTCCATAAATGTATACAATTATCTGTCAAGTAAAATAAAAACTTAAAACAAAAAATACAGGGTCTAGATTTGATTTCCCAAAGGCCCATGACCCCTTCAATGTTCACTTCTTATTCTCCCAGTATTAGAATAGAGGCCAGCCACAAACACATTTTGAGTGTAATGAACAATTGTAGCCACATAAAGTTTCTAACATAGGAGAAAGTTCATCGATTATGTTCTTGTCAGCTCTGCCTGATCTCTGTCCTCTTCATCTCCCCCTTTGAACAGGCTAGCCAATATCCACTTATCTTTTAACATGTACTTATATATATGAGTTGGGCACTGGGCTGAGCTTGGGGTACAGCAGTGAACAGAGCAGACCAGACTAAGCCCTTATCTTCATGGAGCTCATAGACTAGTGGGGAAAGCTGATGGATAAAACGTATATGTAAAAGACTAAGATGAGGATTTTATAGCAGCATTTGGCAGGGATACTAACCCTCACCTTT